AAGTCAATTGGGACTTCCTCCACAACTGCATGGAGAAGATGGGAGTAGGCCTGAATTTCAGAGAGTGGGCTAGAGTACTCTACGGGGATGCCACGGGCAGGGTGCAGATAAACAAAATATTGTCAGACACCTACTCGATATCGAGATCGGTCCGGCAAGGCAACCCCCTTGCACCCCCAATATTCCTATTCATAATGGAAGCCATAGCATCGTTCCTGCGCAAGGATCATCCATACACCGCCTGACTGATCAAAGCCACAACCCCCTCCACGACTTTGCTCTCCCCACAGCATAGATGTTCGCAGATGATCTCACGGTCCTCATCCGCGCCAACAACTCCTCCTTCCAGGCCTTGGCGCGCGCCATGGAAGCCTTCAGACTCGCCTCAGAAATGAAGGTCAATTGGTTGAAAACGGAAGGGTGGTGGCTTGCAGAAGGCACCCCCCCCCAACCCCCAGACCCATCCACCCCAATGTCTTGGACTACAGGCGATCAAGCACTCCGATATCAAGGCATTATGGTAAACAGGGATGGCACCTGGCAAGGGATGGGGGAAACTCTACTCGCTAGAGCAATAACCCGGCTAGCCACCTGCAACAAAGCCCAGGACTCCCTTCTAGGGCAAGCCCTAATCATCAACACAACAGCATTCTCCACTTTGTGGTACATGGCCTCCATATGGGGACCCCCTGACGACGACCTGAAGAACAGCTAGAGCCAAATGCTATCTGTGGACTGGCGACCCCAGCAGAACCGCCTGCATAAACAAGGTGGCCTGGCAAACTGTCATCAGGAAACCACAAGAAGGAGAACTAGGTATAATCGACGCTAAACAGGAATCGATCGCTCTCCAAATGAAACGGATTCAAAATCCTAACCAGACAAGCCCTCCAGTGGACCAAGATGGCGGTAGACAACACAAGGAATTTGGCACCAATAGCGACCCCACTGAACATGAGTGGCCTGTTCTGGATCATGGCAAAGGAATGGACAATCAAATCGAGGAGACCAGCAAGGAAAACTAACCCAGCGACCCCCATTCAGCCCCCCGCTACACCCACCCCCTACCGGTCACCGATCTTGAAGGCCTGGTGTCGTATGATACCAGAAAAGAAAGGGTCCCCGAGCAACAAAGAGGTACATTTAATTTCAATTTCAAATTAATCGCTGAAGTCCTATGACAGCCCCTGTTCTGCTACCCTTGGATCAAAGACACGGAGGGCAGACCGTGGACTCCCCGGGCCAAAGACCGGAGATGGTTGTCTTGGGTGGAGAGAGGAGTATGGCAGGTCAAACATTTGTGGTCCGAGGACCGACGAGAATGGCTCACCGCACAGGACCTTCGCACTCCCTTAAAAGGTTGCCACCTACTGACCACCAACCTGTCAGAAATCCTCCAAAGCATTCCCCCCCCATGGACGACCCTCCTAAAAGAGACACATACGTGGAAACCAGGAGACTGGGGACTACTCACCACACAGACCCCACCAACAAGAGCCTACCGCTTCGTGTCAAAACCGGACTCAACTAACTACCAGGCCAATTTCGTATCCTACCCCATCAGCAAACACAACATATATAAAGGTCCTAAACAAAACACCACAGAACGAACAAATAGAAACTTACCTTCTCAGGAAGGTTAGAGTCTCTCACAAGAAACCCTGGTTTATATTCCATCCGGAACTCAGCATCAAGGAGATGGAATTCGACCCAAAGGAATGGATATGGGATCTGCGCGGCCGGTAAATCGAGGACGATAACAGAATACGACGTTAAGTTCGGATATAACCTCGGGCTACAAACCAGGGACCCGAGTCCAAGGCTGGCAGAGAAATGGAGAACCATATTGAACCTAGATACCACGACCCCCATCTACATCACATGGACCAAATACCGTCTTATCAGACCAATTAGAATTCGAAGTATGCAATGGCTAATAGCACATGCAGCCCTCCCAGTCAACCAATGGCTACACATGAGAAGGAAACATTCCGATCCTGATAGCTCGGAATGCTGCTCAATGTGCAACGACTCACCCGAAGACATCCCCCACAGCCTCCTCTTCTGCCCAGAAGCAACCTGGACATGGAAGGTCTGTGAGCTATGGTCGCTCCTGCTCGCTTCGGCCCCCCCTAACATCCCCCCTATCTCTATCCTACTCCTTGCTAACATCCCAGCAACATCACAGGCAGCAGGGAAGTATGGTTCACCCTGCTCAGGAAGTTGGATTTGTGGGTAATATGGAAACGCAGATGCACTCAGACAATCGAGGGAACAAAGGTGGCAAGGGAAGAAATGTGGTCACTACTGCTGAGCATGGCAGAGACGTAAATCAGGAGCAGATGGCGTAGAATATTGAACTCTACAAGACACAGACCAAAAGGACAAGCAACTAAGAAACGTACATTCATAAGGAACTGGTTGCTAAAGAGCAAGGTGGCAACGATAGTTGACAACCGACTGAGGTGGAAGAAATGGCACCAGGCACAATCATGAAGACTACGAGGGTACCTGCCGGGTGACCTGGCAGAAGGTTCTGTATGGTGATCAACAAAAGGGGGACCGGACACACAAGGAAGGACAAGGACAAACAACAGAACACAAAACGGACCCCCCCACTGTTCTCGCAATACAGGGACTCATTCGACAGGCCCTAAGTAGAAGCCTGAGAGGAACAGATGGTCAGGGCAAGCTGACAGTCAATCCTCCTTAGAAGGAGCAATCAATGCTGGTCAGGGGTCCTTCGACCTGACGGAAGGAAGCGTTGAGTGAGTAATATGATGCAACCCGCTTTGACTTGCCGGGGGAATAGGAACCGGACTGACGCTCCCCAGAATGGATATGGAGCCAGGACCATAAGGACCTGTAGGAAGTCCTGAGACGACCCCTTTTCACCAACCCATGGATTCGAGATGAAGGGAACCACCCCTTGACTATCACCAGAAAACATCACTGGTGGTTGAAATGGATCGCCGGTGGGATATGGAAAGTTAATCACATCTGGGATGAATTAAGGGCACCCACAACCTCTCATCAAATCTTGATATGGTAATCAATAGCATCCAAGGCAGATGGAAAGAGCCACTGCAGGAGACTTTCACATGGAAAAGTGGAGAATGGGGCATCCTCGTTCAAGAATCCTCTCCCCCAAAGGACTTATGCTTTCCACCACAGAATCCCAGGCTCCAACTATACAAAAGCTTTCATGCCTTTTCCCTTGGAATACGACGAAGAGGAAATTCCCAAGGTATTCAACAACAACCCTTCTGAAGTAACATTGGAGACTTTCCTAATTTGGAAAATAACAACCCAAATCTTTCACGCAGAGTGTGCCATCAACGCCTTCCAAATTCGATCCAGCAGAATGGATATGGCAGTTAAGCAAACCCAGCAGAGTGTGCCATCAACGACTCCAACCCAATTATCTGAGTACTCAGTTAAACTGGGTACTTTACCTGCTTAAGTGGACTGACTACTCATAGCCAACCGCCTGTCCTCAGCCAAAACAGAGAAGCGGTTGATGGAAGGCGCAAAATTCGGCGAATTTTGGTGAATTTTTCACCGAAACTGCCATATTTCCCTGAATTTTTACTTTTTTCTCGGTTTTTCTTTTTGCCTGATATATTTGTGCTTTAGGGTATATATATATCGTAACTACAAACTAAAAGAGCGCACTTTGCGAAACAAAGAATAAAAACAAAAAACAGGCACATTGCAAAAAACAAAAAGAAAAAGAAAAAGCAAGGGCAGATTGAAACCATTAAATTTCTCATTCTTCTTTGAACTCCACCTCCACTGTGCCTCTCACGTGCAAGGCTCGCCACATTGATGAAG